CCCGATGAGAATTTATCGAAAGCTACGTATGCTCGCCAAATACTCTTTTGAAGGGATTTGTTTTGGATAGTTTTCCACCAGATCGACTTTACCGGTTCAGGCATCCTTGTGCCTGTCCACAAGAAAGGAAAAAAAGGTGTGAGAACTACCACGGCATAAGTCTAATCGACGTTGCTGCGAGGATCTTCGCCATTGTTCTCCTCAAACGATTCCAGTCTGCGCGCGACTCCAGGACGCGACTCAATCAAGCCGCAGTTTGCGCTGGGCGTGGATGTGTGGATCAGATGGTCCCACTGGGACGGATCCTTGAATTCCGCCATAGCTACCAACAGTCAACGGCCCTCTGGTTAGTTGACGTTGCCGCTGCGTTCGACTCCGTCCATCGTGACTCTCTATGGCGGATAATGACATTAGTTGGTGTATCACCAGAAATAATCGCTATGCTCAAGGCATATTACTGCTCCACCACTGCGCGGGTCTTAGTCCACAACAACTTCTTAAACCCCTTCACCATTCAGCCTGGCGTTCAATAAGGCTGCATCCTATCGCCCATCTTCTTTAACTATGCCATTGACTAGGTTCTCGGGAAGGCCGTACATGAAAATGACGGTAGTGAGCTTCTACCCGGGCGTCGGTTAACTGATCTCGACTATGCCGATGATATCGCTATACTAGCTTCATGCTTTGGTGGTTTACAGTCTATGTTGTCACGGTTAACCGGAGCCGCGAAATTTGTCTGTTTGTTCATAAACGCTGGGAAGATCAAAGTGTGTTCATGCTGCACCCCTGGCCAAGAGAGTGCACCCCTCGAGATTAGTGATTTTCAACTTGAAGAAGTAGACGGTTTCAAATACCTCGGATCGAGGTTGCTGCCGAATGGACAGAGTAAGGTTGACATTGTCTCCCGAATTGACGCAGCGCGACGAGTTTTCTCTAGCCTTCGAAAGTGCCTATGGAACCGACACGATATTTATATCTCCGCAAAGGTCCGCGTATGGTCTATTCTTCTATACTGATGCAAATGCTGGACTATACGCTTGGAAGATGAACTGAAACTGGAAGTCTTTGACTACTACTACTTGAGAACTATTCTTCGAGTAAAGTATACCAACTTCGTCTCAAATAAGACCGTCAACACTCGCTGCGACAACACCGCAAGGATGTCCCAGAAAATCCAAGAAAATCGACTGCAGTGGTTTGGAAACGTTCTTCGCCGTCAACCTCACGAGCTCAGTGTTTCCGCCCTCGACCCGAAACCGTTACGTAATTGGAAACGTCGAAGTGGGGGTCAGCTCAACTAAGTCCGTCAGGACATGGAAGTGGTTCATGGACCTTCGGTACTCAGTTTCCGGCGCTGGGGAAGAGAATGGTTCGAACTGTCCATGTCTGCGGCCACGGATCGTTGCATGTGGAGAAGCACCGTACGAGACATAATTGAGGCCGGCTAGATCAGTCATGATCGCAGCCGCAACCAGTACAAGTAAAGTAA